TTTGTAGTCAGTAAGACTTTTGTTTCCGGATATATTTCTACCTTTTACAGAAAGTACTTTCCCGTGAGTGATTAGTTACAACCAAATACTTGAAATGCACCATTCTATATTTCAATGAACCGTCTGTGGAATTATTTTGTCTGCGGAAAGATAGCATCAGCATGTCGATACTCTGTGAGATCTGACTCGACATTTTTTCTTCAAACTGCTCTTAATTATCCTGTTATGTTTCTTGTTTCTAGTTTCAGTTTCACTTTTAAACTAAGATACACTATCAAGATAGTAAATAGCTTTTCGTCTTTGTAGTGATGCTGATGCATATTTTACCAGATTATTTACTATTTCCTATACCGATAATTTATAAACAAGATGAGTTGCCTTGTCTGGATATAAAGTAAGATAATACCGGATTATTTTCAAAGAAAGAACATTCTTGCAGCCTGTCCTGTATCGATAAAAGGATCTGGATGTATGATAATTAAATGTGCATTATTGATTCAGATATTCATATATCAATGAGGTGTTCCAATGACTTATTTCATTTTGTCGTTATTATTAACCACCTTAGAGTCACTCAGGTTAAAGTGTTACTGAATGAGGTTGTTGTAAATATATAAAGAGGGGTTAAGAAGGGCATATTATGAGGTTATGGGGGGTATATAATGGTAGACCCTAGACATAAAGATGTTTTAAGTGTAATGGTCGGGGATGCATCCTTTTGGGAGTGTCTTCCACAAAGTAGGTATTATCGGAAAGAACCTGTCCAAGTGGAACTACATCCTCATCAAAGGAATACAAATAGAATGGGGATGAGTTAAACGCTATACATAGGTAGCATGGCGATTCCTACATCCAGAAAATCTTCATCCTCTTCAAATTATTACCCTATTAGTTTCTTAACGTTTTTCGGCAAAGTAATCGAGGCTCTAGTCAATGCTGAAGTCGTTAATCCGCTTACTTCTCTCGAACTCTTTTCAGACAAGCAGAATGGCTACCGTTTCGCTGTGTCTACCGCTGACGTGATAACAACCATCTCTGAATAATATATATATATATATATATATATATATATATATATATATATATATATATATATATATATATGTGTGGGTGTCAAGTTCTAGATAAGAATGGCGAAGATCGTGTTGTTTGCTGTGGTTCGTCCCACACTTTTATTATTGAAGTAGCTAAATATAACTGTCACTTCTATTCCAACAGTTTCTTTTCTCGCACCTCTCATTTGTGGAAATATTTTACGTTTTCTTGCTTCCCTGATAACTACGATCTTCAAAAGTTTAAATGCAGCATCAATCGCCATCTTCTTGAACCAATTTCATCTTTTGTCCTTTTCTCAACCCTAACCCTATTTTCAGCATTTTCTTTCACTTTCACTCTTTGTACCCCCCCCCTGCCTACGAGCGGCATTTCCGTATTGCTTCGGGTAAAATGCTTAAAGAAAATGTGAATATCTGAACTGATGGGATTGAGAAATAAGTGTATAAACATTGTGCATGTACAAAATAAGGGTACAAACATTGTGGATGTATGAAATAGGAGTACAAACATTGTGGATGTATGAAATAAGGATTCAAACATTGTGAATGTATGAAATAAGGATGCAAATATTGTGGATGTATGAAATTAAGGATACAAACATTGTGAATGTATGAAATAAGGATATAAACATTGTGGGTGTATGAAATAAGGATACAAATATTGTGGACGTATGAAATAAGTGTAGAAAAATTGTGGATGTATGAAATAAGGGTACAAACATTGTGAATGAATGAAATAAGTGTATAAACATTGTGCATGTACAAAATAAGGGTACAAACATTGTGGATGTATGAAATAGGAGTACAAACATTGTGGATGTATGAAATAAGGATTCAAACATTGTGAATGTATGAAATAAGGATGCAAATATTGTGGATGTATGAAATTAAGGATACAAACATTGTGAATGTATGAAATAAGGATATAAACATTGTGGATGTATGAAATAAGGATTCAAACAAGGATTCAAACATTGCGGATGTTGTAAGGATGATGTATGAAATAAGGATTCAAACATTACGGATGTATGAAATAAGGTGGATGTATGAAATTAAGGATACAAACATTGTGAATGTATGAAATAAGGATATAAACATTGTGGATGTATGAAATAAGGATTCAAACATTGTGGATGTATGAAATAAGGATTCAAACATTGCGGATGTATGAAATAAGGATGCAAACATTGCGGTTGTATGAAATAAGGATTCAAACATTAAGAAATAAGAATGCAAAACATTGTGGATGATGCAAGTATTGTGATGTATGAAATAAGGATGCAAACATTGTGGATGTAAGGAAATAAGAATGCAAACATTGTGGATGTATGAAATAAGGATGCAAACATTGCGGATGTATGAAATAAGAATGCAAACATTGTGGATGTGAAATGATTGTGGAAGGAAATAAGGATTCAAACATTGCGGATGTATGAAATAAGGATTCAAACATTGTGGATGTATGAAATAAGGATGCAAACATTGTGGTTGTATGAAATAAGAATGCAAACATTGTGGATGTATGAAATGTATGAAATAAGGATGCAAAACATTGCGGATGTATGAAATAAGGATGCAAACATTGTGGATGTATGAAATAAGGATGCGGATGTATGAAAAACATTCAATGAAATAAAGAAGAATGAAAAAACATTGTGGATGTATGAAATAAGGATGCAAACATTGAGGATGTATGAAATAAGGATTCAAACATTGTGGATGTATGAAATAAGGATTCAAACATTGTGGATGTATGAAATAAGGATGCAAACATTGTGGATGTATGAAATAAGGATGCAAACATTGTGGATGTATGAAATAAGGATGCAAACATTGCGGATGTATGAAATAAGAATGCAAACATTGTGGATGTATGAAATAAGGATGCAAAATTGCAAAAATAAGAATGCAAACATTGCGGATGTATGAAATAAGAATGCAAACATTGTGGATGTATGAAATAAGGATGCAAACATTGTGGATGTATGAAATAAGGATGCAAGCATTGTGGATGTATGAAATAAGGATGCAAACATTGTGGATGTATGAAATAAGGATGCAAACATTGCGGATGTATGAAATAAGAATGCAAACATTGTGGATGTATGAAATAAGGATGCAAACATTGTGGATGTATGAAATAAGGATGCAAACATTGCGGTTGTATGAAATAAGGATGAACATTGTGGATGGATAAGGATGCAAACATTGTGGATGTATGAAATAAGAATGCAAACATTGTGGATGTATGAAATAAGGTGGATGTATGAAATAAGGATGCAAACATTGTGGATGTATGAAATAAGGATGCAAACATTGTGGATGTATGAAATAAGGATGGATGTATGAAATAAGGATGCAAAACATTGCGGATGTATGAAATAAGAACAAACATTGTGGATGTATGAAATAAGGATGCAAACATGTATGAAATAAGGATGCAAAAACATTGTGGATGTATGAAATAAGAATGCAAACATTGCTATTGGATGTATGAAATAAGGATGCAAGCATTGTGGATGTTGAAATAAGGATGCAAACATTGTGGATGTATAAAATAAGGATTCAAACATTGCGGTTGATGAAATAAGGATGCAAACATTATGGATGGAAATAAGAATGCAAACATTGTGGATGTATGAAATAAGGATGCAAGCATTGTGGATGTATGAAATAAGGATGCAAAAGGATGCAAACATTGCGGATGTATGAAATAAGGATGCAAACATTGGTGGATGTATGAAAAAGAAGCAAACATGGGATGTATGAAATAAGGATGGATGTATGAAATAAGGATGCAAACATTGAAATAAGGATGCAAACATTGCGGTTGTATGAAATGCAAACATTGTGGAAGAAATAAGCAAACATTGTGGATGTATGGATGTATGAAATAAGGATGCAAGCATTGTGGATGTATGAAATAAGGATGCAAACATTGATGTAAAAATAAGAATGCAAACATTGTGGATGTATGAAATAAGGATGCAAACATTGCGGTTGGATGGATGCAAAATAAGTATGAAATAAGAATGCAAACATTGTGGATGAAATATGATGCAAACATTGTGGATGTATGAAATAAGGATGCAAGCATTGTGGATGTATGAAATAAGGATGCAAACATTGCGGATGTATGAAATAAGAATGCAAACATTGTGGATGTATGAAATAAGGATGCAAACATTGTGGTTGGAAATAAGCAAAACATTAAGAATGCAAACGGATGTATGAAATAAATGCAAACATTGTGGAAGAATGCAAACATTGTGGTTGTATGAAATAAGAATGCAAACATTGTGGATGTATGAAATAAGGATGCAAGATGGTATGAAATAAGGATGCAAACATTGCGGATGTATGAAATAAGGATGCAAACATTGTGGATGTATGAAATAAGGATTCAAACATTGTGGATGTATGAAATAAGGATGCAAACATTGCGGTTGTATGAAATAAGAATGCAAACATTGTGGATTGAAATAAGGATGTGGATGTATGAAATAAGGATGCAAACATTGCGGATGTATGAAATAAGGATGCAAACATTGTGGATGTATGAAATAAGGATGCAAACATTGCGGTTGTATGAAATAAGAATGCAAACATTGTGGATGTATGAAATAAGGATGCAAACATTGAGGATGTATGAAATAAGGATTCAAACATTGTGGAATGAAATTCAAACATTGTGGATGTATGGAAAATAAATGCAAGTATTGTGGATGTATGAAATAAGGATGCAACATTGTGGATGTATGAAATAAGGATGCAAACATTGTGGATGTATGAAATAAGGATGCAAACATTGCGGTTGTATGAAATAAGAATGCAAACATTGTGGATGTATGAAATAAGGATGCAAACATTGTGGATGTATGAAATAAGGATGCAAACATTGTGGATGTATGAAATAAGGATTCAAAATTGTGGATTGAAATGGATTCAAACATTGTGGATGTATGAAATAAGGATGCAAACATTGCGGTTGTATGAAATAAGAATGCAAACATTGTGGATGTATGAAATAAGGATGCAAGCATTGTGGATGTATGAAATAAGGATGCAAACATTGTGGATGTATGAAATAAGGATGCAAACATTGTGGATGTATGAAATAAGGATGCAAACATTGCGGTTGTATGAAATAAGAATGCAAACATTGTGGATGATGTAAGGATGCAAACATTGAGGATGGAAATGCAAACATTGTGGATTGAAATAAGGGATCAGGATGTATGAAATAAGGATGCAAACATCAGGATGTATGAAATAAGGATGCAAGTATGTGGATGTATGAAATAAGGATGCAAACATTGCGGATGTATGAAATAAGAATGCAAACATTGTGGATGTATGAAATAAGGATGCAAACATTGTGGATGTATGAAATAAGGATTTGCGGTTGAAATAAGAATGCAAAAAATGGAAGAATAAGGATGCAAACATTGTGGTTGTATGAAATAAGAATGCAAACATTGCGGATGTATGAAATAAGGATTCAAACATTGTGGATGTATGAAATAAGGATTCAAACATTGTGGATGTATGAAATAAGGATGCAAACATTGTGCTTGTATATCAAGTCTATTAATTTATAATTTTTTAACTATTTTTCTCGTTCTGTTTGTTTTTATATTAATTCACAAAATGTTTTAAATTTATTGCCTCTCAGTTAAGCAATCAGCATACTCCTATGTGAAAGAATAATCTACTGACTGGATTTAAACTTACACCCCTTAGAAGGCTTATTTTTCATTCAGTTAATGCAAAACTAGAGAGCCACTCAAGTTAGAGGATTACTTTTAAAATGGTAATGGTTAATGGGATGCGTGATATGAAAGAGAAGAGTTGGTAGTAAAGGAAGATAACGAGGATAACAGCAATAAATGACTTTTTTTTTTATCTAAATTGACCTTTGACTTGTTTTTCTAATTCATATTGCTCGCTTAACGGTTGTAAAATAACCACCTAGGAGTTGGAATAAAAAGATATGTTTCCTGAAATAATACTAATCTAAAACTAGTTTCTAGTTTCTATACTAAAGTCCTTGACTTCACAATTAGTTGTTTTCAAAAACGAATTTTATTATTAGATAAATACGAAATTGTTACCTTCAGCTTGTCAGATATTTCTCTAAATGGCGGCTGCTGGATTTGATCATGTTGCTATTTACAAGAAATGTGAGTTCATGTGACTGATGAATGTTTGTATTACGAAACAAGTCATAGGATTAGAATTTCGAATAAACGAGAAATCTACATAATTCTTCAATCTTTTTCTTCTGTTACTTACAGAACATAGAGTTATGTAAGCAATGATGTAGATATTCATCCAATTGATACATCGGTAAATATTATTCCGTTCCATCACAGATCCAGTACGTTAATCGATAACAAAGATACTCTGAAGACGTAAGCAATAAGTAAATATACATTTTTCCAGACAGTCTTCCGTAGGTTAGTGGTTAGCAAGCTGGTTTTGATGTTTTGTTTGTTTAATACTATATTTGCCAAACAGATGCCCCTTTTTATGAGACCAGGGAAAGATTAGCACTCACCAAAAATATACAATGCGCCTCCAAAGTCACATTATTATTATTATTATTATTATTATTATTATTATTATTATTATTATTATTCAAATTCTTCTTCAAATTCTTCTTCAAAATCTTCTTCTCCTTCTTCAAATTCTTCTTCAAATTCTTCAAATTTTTCAAATTCTTCAAGTTCTTCTTCAAATCTTCTTCAAATTCTTCTAATCTTCTTCAAATTATTCAAATTTTTCTTCAAATACTTCGTCTTCAAATTCTCCAAATTTTTCTTCTTTTTCTTCTTCAAATTCTTCAAATTTTTCTCCTTCTTCAAATTATTCTTCTTCAAATTTTTCAAATTCTTCAAGTTCTTCTTCAAAATCTTCTTCAAATTCTTCAAAGTCTTCTTCCTCAAATTCTTCTAATCTTCTTCAAATTCCTCTTCAAATTATTCAAATTTTTCTTCGAATACTTCGTCTTCAAATTCTCTAAATCGTTCTTCTTTTTCTTCTTCTTCAAATTCTTATTTTTAAAATTCTTCAAATTTTTCTCCTTCTTCAAATTCTTCTTGTATGCACTGTGTCACCTTAGGATATGGCTTATCACATCCTCCTGACCCTTAGAGCTCTTAACAATATTTGTCCCTTTGCTAAGCGCTTTTCGCCATACCGCTTCGCCATCCAATCACGCTAGCTCGTCAGAGTAGGTGACACGCTCATTTACCCTGGCCCTTCTGCTTTCGATATATCCTTTGCGTTTCAAATTCCACAAGCACTTTTTCTTCATATTTCTTCATATTTCTATTCTGAGTATGTCTTGTCGTTTTTTTTTTTTGTTTTGTTTTTTTTTTCTATTTTTCTTCGTTGCTTACCCGATCCATCTACGGCATACAAGGGAATTGCTATTATATAACATTTCAGCAATCATTTTCGTGTTTTTAATGAGAATTCCCGTTTTAATTCTATTTGGGTTGATTAAATTCATTTCCACGCAAATAATCTTACTAAGCTATACATCCCTATCCTACGACCAGCTTTGAGTTAGATTTTCGAACTTGTATTCGAAAAAATGATTCATACACAGATGTCCTCAAGAACACATGGCACAGTGGATAAAGACGTTGGTTAGATCCAGTGACAGGACCCAAAGAGTGTGAGTTCAATACCCGGTTAAGGCAGTAGAGAACTTTGAGAGAGAAAATTAACAAGAGATAACTGATAACTGACATCCATTAAACATGGCACGTGGAACTAGTCTACCCCAGTGGGCGAAATAAAGGGTTAAGTTCGACATTCCAACCACCTGAAGAAGACCGGAGCGTACAACGACCGAAACGTTGTAATAAATATGGCGACAAAGATGAGGACAATAGTCCGAATAAAGGAAATAATGTACGTAATACCTCATCTCAGAAATATAGACAGAAAATTATTCTTGTCAATGCAATATTCACCTACAAAAATGTAATTAAAATCCAAAATATATATATTCAGCTTTAAATAACCCACAAGGGACAGATAAACCGTATAAAATATAAAACAATCAATCATTTTTTTCTTCTTAACGAAGTTTTCCTGTTTCTTAGGACTTTGCTTATGCTTTAGAAAGCGCCTATATGCTATTCCAATGCGTGTTCGGATTTTGATGTCGAATTTTCCATTCTCTGTTAAAACACTTCTTAGATATTTAAAGATTCTGTACTTGTTTGATGTTGACACCTCCAATGCAAAAGATTTCTATTCATAAAGTATAGTTCATAAATTAGTAGACACCAAACATAGCATTTTATTTTATTTCTTGTAATCTATGAGACAATCAAAATATACATTATCAGGTACCATTTACGAATAAACACTAGAGCATTTAACCGCCACTACAAGGAATATGAAGATGGCACCATTCTTTTTAGTAAATTGATGTTAATCTATTCACTATTATTCTAATTTGCAATATAATATGGTATAATAAAAGACAATTGCAAAAATGGTTCTTGTAATGTCATCGCTTTTAATGTATGGCCGTCAATTTCAGTAATGCCTCGGCCGAGTAAAGAAATGTTTCCAATTTTAAGTAACATGTTATTTCCTTCTACAAAGAGAAAATAACAACAAAAATAGCTGCAAAGCTTAAAGTAAAGAAATTTTTTTAAAATGGATTTTTCCCAAATGTACAAAAATAAACAAATTGATCCATGCCAGGTAGAACTGAGGTTTGTATATTTTTATAAGGTGAATGTTTGATAATGAGCTTACAGAAGTAGAAGTTACTAAAATCTCAGTTTGCTGAATGTTTGTACCACAATAATTTAACGGACTCTGAACGTTCTTGTTCAGAGTCCGTTAAATTATTGTGGTACAAACATGGCTGAAAACCCTTACCGAAGCATCAGCTTCCTTCCAGTTTGCTGTTCAAGCAAAGTTGCAATTAGAAAATGAAATAAAGTGCAAACACTGTAATTGTATAGATTAGTGTAATGGTTACGAGGACCGAAAATGAAATTAGCCAACGAATTCTGATTGACATTCATGAAGCTCTTTGTACTACTCACCTTGGAAAAGGCAAGAATCTATCTCTTCCTTGAGGTTAGACCAAGGATTATACTATGCTGTTGGTACCATATGACCCAGTACAATCTGTTTCATATTATATGGAGAGTAACTTGATTTATCCAAGAAATGATTCCAGTGTTAAAATCCAAACATCTAGCATTTTATGAGAAATTTAATCGTCTTTAAAACTTCGTGTATTTCATGATTGCAGTATCTCTTTGCTGTTGGTCTTTCCACTCATATAAATCAGCATTTCTTCTTCTTCTTCTTCTTCTTCTTCTTCTTCTTCTTCTTTTTTTGCCATACGACATTAAGGATTCTGTAAAATCTCCTATATATTGCCAGGGCCATTCTTCAAATAAATGAGAATTTAAAGTCAGAAACACAATATAAAAATCCTTATTTAATTATGATATATACATTAAAAAAGTGTTTATTATTCACAATAATTTCCCAAGGATTAGCAAGTTTTATAAACTTCTTTTAAATACTCTGTCGCATCTGGACATAAGCAGCCGTGATAATCCACAATATATGTTTTTATAGCATTGATTAATTAAAGAAAGTTAAATATTTGATTGGAACAACAAAATTAACAAAAATGTTTGGCACATCCAAAGAAGTGGATAATGTGTATATGACAGACCTGTAAGGAAGCTGTATGTCATTCGCCACTTATGGAGAAGCAAACGTTTATACTGACGAAAGGATTATGTTCGTAATTTAACCAATGCAGCAATAGGGGTTATGCATTCGGAATTAGTTACCAGATACGTTGCAGCTTCTTATAATGATAATCTTATGATAATCTTATTATAATAAGGCTAGACGGTTTTTTTTTTTGTTTTTATGACCAAAATGTATTTGAAAATATCTGAAATTTTTAATCTCCCCACACTATTAATCTTTGGATTAACTACTAGTTTGCTCCTTACTGAGTTCTTTTAACACTTCAATTTCATAGAAGACTGAAAATGCACCTGAAGAAATTCTTCGCTCGGAAAGATAAACTTTTCTTGTAAAATGGAATCATAAACCTGCCTGAAAAAAGACAGAATCTAACAGAACATAATTAATACAAATTTCTTGTTTTAAAATGACAGAATTATCTTAGTTTTACGTAATAACCTAAATGGCCATTTCTGGTCACCAACTGTAAACGATCCCTATAAGAATAACATAGTAACAGTTTGTAAATTAGTACGCGAATGTCAATTCAGAAATATTTACATCACCCTAAGATGCATTAATAGCAAAATGATGTTGGTATATTTTCGCTTAAACAAAAGAGAAGAGAATTACTGCTGAAATGTTTACCAGCTTATGGGCATCCGTAAAAGAGATAAAGAAACTGTTAAAACAAACTG